CCTCCTTCTCTCCTTCCTTCCCTTCCTCCTTCCCTTCCTGTTTTCAGTAGCAGCAGGAGCCCCCCAACACTCTGATATGCTCGCTCCCACGATTCATCCTGTTCCCACACCTTTCACTGAAATGAATGCTTGCAGCTTTATGCCAGGCAAAACAAGATCCGTTCATTTCCATTGATACATATTGATTGGCCTGACTGCTGTGCAGCCCGTGAAGCCAGCATCAGTTCAGGGAAAGGCTGTGCACAGCCACTGAAACCTGTGGGCAGAAGGTCTTTAGTGGGCAGATTATCGTTGGAGGTTCCAGTACAACCTCACACATATTAATCTGTAAATACCTCGGATACTTTTACAGTAGTAGAAGCTGATAGAAACTGCCTGGATGATGGCAGTCATCAGATAGCATTACAAGATGGGATTTCTAGGTGAGCCGACAAACTTCTTGGTGGGATGTGGTTAGAAAGGCATGCCACATGCTTATCATTTCTCTCCAGCTCGTCTGATCTATGTCGAAGAATCAGGTAGATCCACCTCGTTCAGGTTTTATAAGGTGACTTGGCCTGACCGACAAAGCTAGCCTATGAGAGGTCAACATTTCATCAAGGATTTAGCTGCAGCATCGGATAGAGTTCACAGAAGTGGGGTGCGAACGTGAAGAAATAGTGAGCCTCGGGAATAGATAAATGAATGGAATTCCTTGTTTATTTTCTAAAACATTTTTAATTTCTAGTAAAAATGTTAAGTGTGAGGAATGAATAAATAAATATAACGTCTCTCCCTTCCTCAGTGCTGTTGCCTCCTTTCTTTTGCCCTTAGTTGGCTAGTAACATTTGGGCTAAAGGATGGTCCATCTACGTCAGTCTGGCGGTATAGTTTGCCTTTATTTTTCTCACATGCCGTGTGTTAGTTTGTGACCTGTGTTTCATGTTCTCGTCCTTATGTTCTTGCCACATGGCGTCATCTTCCTCTAACTCCGCTAGTATCGCTGAAAATTAAGGTTTTGTTTTCCAAATGATATAGTGAGCTTCCCATGTAGTTTTAGTTGGTGTTCAGTCATTTACATGTATATATGGGGTGAATGGAAATACCTCTTATGGCAGATTAGGTCTTGCGAACAGTTCCATCATGGGAAGCACGGTGTTTAAATACCCCTCTTTAGCCGGACTTTTTTCTTCCTAGTTCATTCTCGTGTTCTTATTCTAGCCGTTGCTGCAGTGATGAGCTCTGCATGGCTGTGATGCGGTGGGACACGTGCCATCAGTCTTTTGTCCTCACCTGTGCTGGGCCTTCTTCATAACCATTTCTATTGTTTGATTCGTGCTTGGGGAAGTTTGAAGTCCTATAGCCGTTACAAATGAGTAAAGGACAAGAAGCCTGAGAGGAAGCATTTCTCTTCATCCTTCTGCTTGGGAGATCTAAGGATCGGTTTGCAGAACAAGTCCTAAGAAGATGAATGAGCTGCCCACATTGCTGATGAGCTCAGTCTAACCCTCTCGAATGGCACTCTTCCTGTTCCCCTGCTCTTCGTGTCCCCTCAGCACTCACCCTTAGAATTGACTCCCCAAATAACGTGCATGCAGGCCTTGTGTCAAGGGCATTGTGTCTCAGGGAAACCAGCCTTAGACAATGGGATCTTTCTAATTATGACTGGAGAGTGTGGGAACTTATTACAATGGCCACTTTATTTGAGTGCCCACATTATCTAGAACAAACCTCCGGCAGAGCATCAGGAGACTTCCTAGCCGCACTTCAGCCTCTGGTAAGTTATTTTCCCATCCCATGACGGCAGAACCACAGTAAGAGTGTGCTATGGAGACATGTTTGTAAGACTGGAGGATTTGTCCAGCTTCTTTTAAGACTGTTTTGTGGGAGCAAAAGTGTATGAATCCAAAGGTTCTGAGCATGGTTGAGAGTTTCAAGAAAGGGGTTTGTGGGGGAACTTGGGATGAATTCCAGTGATAGAGCCAAGATCCAAAAGAGACATCTGGGAGGCAGAAAGCATTCATTCCTTGTTCATAATAATGGCCACAATGAGACACAAAGCCAGGTCAGGTCAGGCAGTTTGGGGTTGTTCCTGTAAAGGCCACTTGAGTGAGGCTGGGGCTCATTAGTCAGTTGCATCAACCTATTCTGAGAAAGGGAAGTGGGGATCAGTCCCAGCTTAGACAAGAGCATAGGTGACTGGAGCCAGTGGAGGGCTACAAGCTTGGGCTGGTTGCTTTCTCTAATTACTTGTTTCACTATATAGCTCAGGTTAATCCTGTGACTTGGGTCTCGGTGGTTACAGTCCTGTGACTCAGGCCATAAGCAGTTGGGTATTTTGTGTTAGAGTAACGTATAGAAGTTGAAGACCTGATTATATCCTGTCTCTTTGCTACTACCCCAAGGGAACACTTAATGAGTGATGCTTGCCTCAAGAAGAAGAAGAAGAATTAACAATAGCTATATTATGCCTATTAATTTATAGTTACTGGTTGCTATAATTAATGCTATTTATGAAAATCATCATAATTATAGTGCTTTACAAAGTATGTTCCCATCCACTTTCTTATCTGAGTCTTCAACAACTCTCTTGCTGAGGCAGGGCGGGCGATGGTCTCCTTGCTTTCCAGATGAAGAAACTATGGCTCTGGGAAGCATTTAACCAAGCTCTGATCCAGTGTCCTTGCCAATTTGCTGTGTTAGCTATGTGTATGTGTGGATGCCCCTATCAGATTTCTGTTCATCATAATTTCAAGTCCACACACAGGAATACCAAATTCATTTGGTTCTCGGTAGCCGTCCTGTGGGGTGGTATGTCCTCCCCCTCCACCTAGTGCTAACTCTCTCTATGCAGAATGTTCTCCGACACTTCGGAGGTCTTTGTTTTTACTTTTTTGAGATGTTGATACAGTTGTATTGTGGGTAAAGATAGGACTCTGTGATAGAGAAATCTATCAGTATTACTTCCCTAATAGAAACACATCTACCTTAATAGCTTTGCCATGGGCTAGTGAGATGGCTCCGTGGTTAAATGTTTTTGATGTGCACATCTGGTGACCTGGGTTCTATCCTCAGAGGACACATAAATGTGGAAGGAGAGAATCAATACTACAGAGTTATCTTCTAACCTCCAGTGGAAGGCTATGACCTGTGGGTGCCTACCTGTACCTGCACCCACATGAGAGTGCACACACACGCACACACACACGCACACACACACATGCACACACATAAGCACCCCTCATGCCAATAATAATTAAAAGAATATAAAATTAAAAAGTTGAATAAGACAGAATCTCAGGTTTAGACAAGAACACAGCTACCTAATACACCACTCTTTTTCCAGTGCGGGCTAGGCATGAGTTCTGAGAGTAATTTTTCAATTTCATAAATCCAGTCTTGGAAGCTGTGCTCTCCATCCTGCTGCTCGTTTGAATCAGGGTGCTCACAGGTGCACATAGTCTGAGCCATTTGATTTCAGTTTTTGATCATATAGTAGAGTATTTCCTGCTTCTTGGTATATATGTCATGTTTATACCTGGAAGATGTTGATACAAGCAAGGCCCTGAATGAAAATCCTTGGAATACTGACGGTGGCATTATTCACCAATGCCTTTTTTTTTTAAAAAAAAAAAAAAAAGAAGAAGAAGAAGAAGAAGAAGATTGCCTACTGAAACATTCATATACTTCAGGCCCTGAGCAGGAGACTGCGGGGCACAGTGTGACCTAAACGAGTTGCATCTTTATTTTCATCAGTCTTGCATTGCTGTAGGCATGGCAGGGCTGTATACAAATGGATATAAAAGACAGCATGTCATTGGTGGTCAAGATGACTAGCCAAGTAAACAGGGCAGATTGAGGGGATAAAGGAACAGAGTCATCTCGGTAGCATATCCCAAATGGCAAAATACCCACTTTAGACAACGTACTAATGGGCACCCATTTTTAAAGAGGGCTCACACACAAGGAAGCAAGGTGATCAGTCATCTAGGGTAGGATCCATGGAACTGATGCCCAACTTTCAACATACGTGTAGCTGATCGTCCCAGTTTTCCTGGTGTCAACCCAGGACTGGGGAGGCTTAGCTTGTGCTGACTGTCTTTGCACAATGCCAGCCAGTACATCAGACTCCAGTCATGCTACCTCACCACACGTAAATAACTTCTAAGACTCAGGGAAAGTGGCGTGGTGAGAAAAGCACTCAAAATAAATAAATAAAGTAAGTAAGTAAGAAAATGAAGAAAGAAAATAAAAATAGGAATTTAGTCAGGTTCTGCAGTGGCATGTTGGGGAAAGCACTCTAAATAAACAAATAAATGGAGAAAGAACGAAAAGAGAAGGGGAACAGTACTGCTGTTCTCCTGTTCATTCTGAGGGCAGGTCATGTGGACCACTGGTGGCTAAGTCCCATTGCTCTCCAGCTCCCTCACACAGGCTTGCTATGCCTGCCTCCTGTGCAGCTCTGTGGCCAGTGTCCTACGTGACCTGCTTCCTGTGTAGTTCTGTGGCTTCAGTCCTAAGTCACCTCTTGCTGTTTCACGTTTTATGAGTTGTGCATGGGCTCCCTTACATACACTGCTATCACCTCCTGATCACTGACCAGATAAATAGTTTCAGGCTTCATGGTGCCTGGCATTGATTTTTCTTATAGGACACCGTTCCTCCTCCCTACCCGTTGCTTCTGTGGTAAACCATCAGCAATGATTTCTGAGTACAGAGGGCCTCGGAGATTCTGATCCTACGTTGTAGACATGGGGACATGAATTTCTTCTACTTAAATCTTCATCAGAGTGCTAAATATATGACTCCAGAGAAAAACATTTCCATTTGTTTTCTGTTTTCTCACCTATCAAAAAGTGATGATAATTTTCTTCTTTCCTACCTTAGTAAGATTTGATGAAAAACTAAAAGAAAATACATGTAGGAAATAGTACAAAAGAGCAAATTATAGCATGAGCGATTTGAACTCAAAATGCTATCCAGGGAGGATTATTAAATTTTAATATGTATGTTTTTATCAGGGAAATCCTGGAGGCAAGACCCTGGAGGAAAGACGGTCCAGTCTGGATGCGGAGATCGATTCCTTGACCAGCATCCTGGCTGATCTGGAGTGCAGCTCTCCTTACAAACCTCGGCCCCCACAGGTAGGTGCTGTCCACAGCATCCCTCCTGCCATGGTCCTCACCCTATCAGGAGAATGAATTGTGTCTTAGAACCTTTCATTCTTTCACCAACTCCTTAAAGTTGGTGGCCCAAGATGCACCCTACCCCTGATCTGAGAAGACCTCGCTGTGTCACAACCTTCCTGTACCACCCCCCGAGCGCATCCATGATAGGCATGCACCTCCATGCTGACCACGGTTCGTCTTTGTTAACTCTCAGCTCATGCGGGATCACCAGCAGTGACTTCTTAAATGTGCATTGGCGGCTTCTTCCTGTCAAAGTTAGGTGGGTCCTTTTTGTCACTGTGTGGTTTGACCCGAAAATGCTTTTATTTTTCTAATTGACAGTACATGCATCACTGTGTGTCCCACTCCTGTTGGTGAACAGACGCCATTGTACTGTCAGTGATCCCTTAACAAGTGCACAGTGCTGCTTCTCCGGGTTGTTAGAGGAAAGCACAGCTCATTTCATTGCTGTGCCCTTTTCCTGAACCTGTCTTTGTGGATATCCGCCTACGCATTGTTGCGGTCTCTACATATATGACTTGGCATTCATGTCTGTATGAGGTTCTAGTGAGGGCATGTCTTGTTTTTCTTATGTTGCATGTTGAGGAAGCGTCTGTTTTTGTGGCTCTTAGTAGTAATGACAAACGCTACAAGGGACACGAGACCTCTACCAGTGTGATTCCCACACACAAGAGAAAAACTGACTTTTTTTTTTCTTTCCTCTAATCCCCATCCCCTGCTTTCCTTCCCTCTTTGAGACTAGGTCTTGGCTGACCTGGAACTCACTATATAAGCAAGGCTGCCTTTGAACTCATGGAGCTGCCTCTCAAGTGCTGGGATTAAAGTGATTTGTCACCAAACCTAGCCTTTTGGAAGTGTGTGCACACTGGTACAGAAGTTGAACTATATTGGTTTCTCCTGGGATTCACAGGAATTAAACAGATCAGTTATTGTGTTTTTAGTGTTAATGGTGCATTGTTGAAGTTTCCTTTCCTATTTTTGCTTAGAGCTTGAAATTTTTTCTGCATTTTCATTCATCATGTACATTTTTGGATCTGGTATTCCATCACTGAACAGCATCCTCTACCTGGCTAAATATGAAAAGGGTGAACTCCATTGCAGGGCTCTGTGTCCTCAGAAGGATTCTAGATGTCCAAGTTAGGTGGGTCCTTTTTGTCACTGTGTGGCTTGACCCGAAAATGCTGTTGTTTTTCTAATTGACAGTACATGCATCACCGTGTGTCCCACTCTTGTTAGTGAACTCTGCCTCGCCATTGTATTGTCGGTGATCCCTTAACAAATTCTAGAGCAGCCCAGCTTCCGTGCTGCCAATCACTCGCTGCTCGTCTTCATCTAAAATGGAAGTTCCCTATCACCCTCCCTGCTCATGTAATGGGACTGGCAGTTATGTTGGGAACAAAAGGCCAAACAGACAGAAGATGAACTCTTGTGTCTGTGTTGGCTTCACCAGTCCCGCCAGCGCACATGCTCTTCATGTCTTATTCATTGGCAGAGCTTGGGGTGGAGAGCAGGCACGGAGGCTTTTGTGGGGAACTGAGAGGCAAAGGAAAATGTTGGGAGCAGAGTCAACGTACTCGGTAGTTGTCTCGTAGCTCCTGGCACTCTGTGAGATAAGCTGCAGCTGCTGTGGCAAGGGCACAGAAGACAGCGATAGATTTTTAAGAAGGTGGCAGAACCTGAACAGTCTTACCCACAGGCTAGTGAATATAGCCAAAGACTGGGTGGAGTCGTGTCACTGGAGACTCAGGGCAGGGTAGGACTTTCAAGCCCATGAGGCTGAGGGAAACCACTCCATCAATGGCTTGCCTTGACTTTGAAGCTCTGAATCAGTTTTGATACTCAACTGACGTTTTAGCTCGTCAATTATAGATTGAGAATGGAAAGTTCTTGAAGGGTCTCTAGCAGGGGAAAGCTAAAATTTATTCGGGACAGAAATGCTGGAAACAAGACCAACTCTGAAGATGCAGGGGGAGAAGCGGAAGCTCCTCCTGGAAATAATGCATATATTATCATTTGACCTTAACCAATTTATAATTCCAGCCAATCAAATAAACGTTACATGCCTAGTTTCTCAGGATAGCAAATCCATGCCCTGCCACTAGACCAACAACCTTCTGCAAAATGCTTCTATACACTCATTTGAAGCAGGGATTTTGTTTTTCACTCCTGGAGACTTCTTATTTTCCTCTCCATTTTTCTTATACTGAAAGTTTTTCTGATAATTTTGTGGTTACAATTTACTCTCCCCTGACTCCTCTTCAAATTCTTCTCGCCGTTCTACTACCTCTTCACATCGTTTCTCTCTCTCTTTAGAAAGCAAGCAGGCACCTAAAGAATAATAATAAAATTAATATAAAACTAAAGTGAACAAACTGGAATAGGGCAAAAGGATGATAAAGCACCAGGAACACATATAGATGCAAAGACACATACATTCATACATATGGGAATTCCATAAAAACTCAACAATGCAAAGAACTAGTAAATTGGTGGGGCGAGAGAGAGAGAAAAGAAATGCTCCAGCAAAACATTATGAGACAAAGAAGCTGTTGTATAGAAAAGTCCCTGCTGCAAGGTGTCTCCTTGTCATGGTTTTTCTGCCTTAGGTCTGTGGCTACTCATGACTCTCATGAAAAGTAGTGAATTCTGATTGGTTCATTCAGTTGTGGTCTTCCTGTCGGAATGGTCTTACTATACAAGCACACTCAAAATCACTGACAACCCAAGACTCCGCACGTGAGCTGCCATATCTCGGAGGCAGGGGCAGTGCACTTGTTTTGTGGACAGAGCAACGAAGACTTGACATGTAAATGACTTAAGTTTTTGACTACTATGTGAATACAGCTGGACCCAAACCTTAGACTTTTGCTTGACTGTATGTTCTAAAACCAGATTAAGACTTTGGCGGTTATTTATTTTTAATTGTCTTACTATTGGAAGAAATCACGAAGTCAGTCATATAAGTGACATTGTTCCTTAGGAATCACTTTCCCATAAAAAAGCAAACATTGATGAGGTTCAAATAATAATTAGGATGACCTCTAAGTTAAATAATTTCATAATGAGGCTGAAGTCTACTTTCAGTGTGTCTGTTCCATACTCAAATCAAAGGTTGGTCTAGTCTGTTCTTTTCAATTATTCTAATTTAGGAAAGCAAGAGTTAATTAGGAGCTCCAGCTCCTCCTGAATTATCTTCGCTCCCGTGGAACTGAAGTAGATGCGTTAGTATTTATTGCTAACGTAATTATATGCTGTGAGAACAATAATCACACCCTTAAATATTAAAATACGTGCCAAGAGCAGATGATGTCTGCTGTAGACCGTGTTGTGTTGTGCCTACACGACACCTGAAATGTCCTCGAAGAATAGACTTTCATGCCTAACTTTGATGTTTTCTGTTTTTGAGGCAAACCAGATTTCAAATTCACAACTGGTGAGTCACCTGAGCACCTCAAGTAGGTTACTAGGTCTGTGGTCCCCCACTCCTCAAGCGCTCATTGTGTCTTACCAGTTTGTTTCTGAATTACCTTTGTATGGCCACTTTGACTCATGATCTGCAAAAAAAAAAAAAATGATATGTAATGTTTAATGCTTGTGCAGGAAGAGGTCCCAGAGAGCAAAGTCACATAACAACTCTGAAAGTGCCTCTGCTCTTGGTAGATTTTGCCAAAGCATTTTCCCCCTTTTTAAAGAAGGATCTCGCATCTCATGTTGCCCGGTGTTAGTTCAGCTTCCTTTTTTTTTTTTTTTTTTTAATCCTGTGTCTCTTTGGACACTGCAGCTGAACTCCATATATTTGAAAATATAAAGGTCTTTTATAGCCAAGAGACAGAAAAGTTGTCTGGAGCAGCACAAAGAAGGAACTCACTATGTTCTTTCTATTGCCATGTGCGCCCCCCCCCCCATGTACTGAAACTGTTCAGAGACCCTATATCAAAAAATCATACAGATATTAGCATTGTGCATTTAAGAATCAGGGGGACCCCACCACACAGACAGCCATGTGTGCTCTTGACTGCATCTGTCCTGGGAAGTTCACTGAATTTCAGAAGTTCCAACAGTGATGACAGTGAATGTCTTGTCTAGTGCATAGGTTATTTCAAACAGCAAAATAAAGTGTGTGGCCTGTTAAGGAGAATAACAGATTTCAGAAATTCAGATGAGCTTAAGACCTGATAGCAGGCTTACTGCTTAAGGCTTTCACAGTAAAGAGAAATATTTATTAAGGAGATCGACAGTGTTTTTAATGCCTTTACTGAAGTTTATATCAAGTACACACACATATACACACAAAGATATATTTATGTATGTGTGTATGAATATCATATAGATAGCATGTGTCTATAATGTTTGATATAGCATAATCTATATAATATTTTAGCAAAGTTTATATGGTATAGATCATATATATTATAAGTATCATATAAAGTATAAAAATCAATATGAAAATATATTTGTTAAAGTTTACATAATTAATGTGTATACTTAATATATTGCACATAAATTATATATATATATATATAAATCACCTTTTGCAAAATTTACATGATGGATACACAAGCACACACATACACAAACATACAAACATATCCATGACGCTGCATGAAATTATATAATTAAACATCTTAGTGTTTAGAATCAAAGCTTACAAGCATTTCGTGTTATAGAGAATAATCCTAGAAGAATGCACATGAGAATTGAACGGATTCTAGGTGAACTGCAGCCCAAAATGATCCAAAAACATCAGGACTTCTTTGGTTCTTAGGTCACAACGCAGGACCCTGGCTCTAAAAGGCTTATTTAATAGCAGGCAGAGGAATTGTTTTCATTTTTCCTGGTCCATAAAAGAGCAGTTCTCTGTGATGCCAGCAGCCAGCAAGCGTAATTTCCACTAATATCTTCATTTTCTTTCCAAAATTCTGTTTTATATGTCACTTGCCTTTTAATATCTTGGC